CTCTTATTCCTCCCACGCGGTTCTGGTGAGCTAAGAAAATGTTTATCTCCCTGAGCTTGGCCTTCATAATTCCATTCCATCACACATGCATACATATGGAAGCAGTACTATGAAGAGCACAAACAAGACACAAATAGTATGCTAAAAAAGGTGTAAGAGAAGAGCAAGAAAAAGGATAGCTCAATCTAGTTTTCACCAACATCATGCATTATACTTCTTCATATCTTTCTGTCCTTGCAAGCATCCTTGCTTCCACTAGGAACACACATTGCTTCATACATTCCCTTTTGTTCTTCAAACATCTCATCTTTTTATTTTTGAGGATCTTACCAACTCCATTGAACCATGACTTTCTCAGTCTTTTCTTTCCTCTTCTTTTATATATTTGTTTTGCCATACAATCTTCATTCATTTTCTCCATATGACTAAGCCACCTCAATGTACTTCATATTTGTCACTCACATGTTTTCAATCCAATTCATACAGCACCCTTAATTTTTTGACCCTATCTATTTTTCTAGTGTGAGACTGAGTTCTCAGACAGTGAGAAACAAAGTAAAAGCAAATCTGACTGTTGCAGATGGAAACACAAAAAATGGAACTGGGATAGCTCACACAAAACAGGGGGACAAAAGTCCATTCCATGGGAAAAGAAGGAAAAAGAAACTCTGGAGCTTCTTGTTTAGCCCTTTCATCCACTTCCAAAACAATGTTTTATTTCCAATGAAATCATTTTGTGTTTTTTCTTCCTCTTTCAACAGTAACTGTTTCTTGCTCTGTTTATATTCTTTGCAAGTGTGTGTGTGTGTGTGTGTCACACACATGTCACACGCATTCCTTTTTAATTTATTGAGATTTAATGTACATAAAGTAGGCATGCCTTTTTTTCAAAGCAATTATTCTTTTATATGCATTTTTTTCATTCACAGCCTCTTTCACTTCATTCCACCAAGCATCTGTTTTTAAACTTCCCATTAGTGTAACTCTTGAGCATGATTCTCTACACTAAGTTCTAAGCAGCTTCCAATCCTCTTTCATTACATTCATTCTTTAATTCTTTTGAGATATTAATCTCCTTAGTTTAATATTTTTCATACAGGATTCATACTTTGTTTCCCTGCTGTCATTCTATTTTCACTTTAGGTTCCTTCACTTCTTTTTCTTCCATGTCCATTTCTTCCTAAGATCTATTCTTGACACTATTAGATAATGTCTGTCCACATTCATAGCTTCTCATCACCTTTATATCTTTCACCAATTCTCTCAACCTTTCATTGTAAACAATCAAATAAATGAAGGGAGGAAGAGTGAATTAATTGACAGGAGGTGGATGACTAAGAAAATTGTGGTTGGGTGGAGTTGAGTTCCTAAAAAAGAGAAAAAGGAGAAGTTTAAAGAACAATAGATGTGGTGAAAGCAAGGATGTTTTGCAAAGAAAGATATGGAGAGGTACAGTGAATGGTGTTTCTTATTTCTTCTCTGTACTCTGTATAATGATGCTTATCCCAAAACAGAATATGGTGTGTGTGTGTGTGTGTGTGTGTGTGTGTGTGATGTTTTTCTTTTGAATAAAAAGAATTTTTTAAAAGGCTAAACCTCACAAAAATTATAGAACAGTTGGTCTAATTTTATCTTTAAAAAAGTTGTAGAGTTCTTTTTTTATACAAAATGTTTTGGCATGCCTTAATTTATAGCGAGATGTTTGCAAGCTTCTTTGGAAGTGCATTGAATTGTTCCAATATATCCATGGACAGTCAAAAGCCAGCCTGCAGCTTTCTTGTTTGTTTTTAATTCCAGAGCAAATTGCCCAGTTAGCTGCTAATTTAAGGAAACCCTTGGCTCCTGGACACATGGGGAAGCCTGGGCCTGCTGGCCCTCCAGGGCCTCCTGGAGCAATGGGGAGCATTGGACATCCTGGGGCTCGTGGCCCACCTGGATACAGGGGACCAACAGGGCATTTGGGAGCCCCTGGTCCCAGAGGTGAGTAAGCCCCAAAGAGATTAGAATCATAGAATCATAGTGTTGGAAGGGACCTTGGATTAGTGCATTAAAACCCATGAGACTGGATGGTTTTCAATGCTTCCCAAGTCAGTTTATAAAGAGCATCCTTTAGGTTTTTGATGGATCATTTTTATTTAAATTTTATAGGGGACCCTGGTGAGAAGGGAGACAAAGGGGTCATTGGCAAAGGCGTTGATGGACCTGATGGAGATCAGGGTCCACAAGGTAAGTTGAAAGAATATTCTGCAGCTGTATGGTTCCAACTTTCCTAAGCATCAAGACCAGATGTTCCAGAGAGACCATGGTTTCCTTTGGAGGAGACGGAATGAAAAGTCTACGTGGGTTTTGATTATGCTTGATTAATTTGTAAATATGGCACCCCAGTGACAACTTACATAGATTTCTACTAGGCAACCAGTCTGCTACTCTCCCAAAACAGTATCCTAAAGGTGCTCTAACCTTTTCTGCACCAAATATCCTAAATTGTGCATAATCCCAGGCACAAGGGTGTGGGCACATATATACACACATGCACACAGACTTTTCAAAGCATCAAATAGCACTTTCAGATCTGATTAACATCCTTTTGGAATGTTTGCAATCTAGATCCAGATCTAGATTTGGAAGAAGACAAATAGCACTGATGAGAACAGACTTAGATTTAAAACCAAACCAAACCAAAGATAGTGACTGTTTTTATATCCAATGGTTTTGTCCATGAAAACGTGCAGAATAACATGAATGTTTTGTTTTTCCCCTTCCAAGGACCACCAGGTGTCCCTGGGACTAGGAAAGATGGTCGGAATGGTTCACCTGGTGATCCTGGGTTACCAGGAGACCCTGGAAGACCAGGTTCAGTTGGAGCACAAGGAACTACAGGACTCTGTGATACATCTGCCTGCATGGGAGCTGCTGCTAGCGGAAAATCTAAGAAATCGTAAAACTGTGTGAAGTTGAATGAATGAAATGAGGAAAGGGAACTGAGCATTCAATGGAATTGTTCATACACGATGAAAGAAACATTGCCCTAACTGAAAGAAAATGAATGAAATGGATGCTGTATTTCAGTTCTATGGGGGGGAATCAATTTATTTCTATTTCATACAATGTATAAGTTCTTTGAAGAGATATCCCATTATTCCTGAAGTAATTTCCATTTAACAGCTTCCCTCTACCTAAGATTGTACTAGTTTTTGCAATGGCTTCATTTGGCACCATTTTATGTTTATGAATCCCGTTTTACTACTGGTAAAATAATAGGTGTAAACGTTTCATGTATTATTTGCCAGCTGGTCCAACTGGATATACCTGCAGATATGACTGAGCAGATGCTTCAGAGACAGAAGTATCTCGCAAGAACAATGCACATGTAGTCCCATTAAATGGCTAGGAACTGGGACACTTTGTAGAGCTCTCTATTTTGATTGGGGTTCATAAATGTAAAAGTGAATTGGATCAAAATTGGATGTAAGAACTACTGTTTATAAAATGTGCACAATTCAGAGATCCCCTTGAGATTCACACCCCAGCATTTTGTGCCAGCATCAGCTTATTATATTGGATCAAAGCCCTGTTGGAGATTCACCTGAGTTTTCATGGGTGTGGGTTGATCACAGCAGCACTGGAAACAGATTCTGCAAGTGTGATATCATGATATACTCAGAGCCCAATCTATGATGTGAATTCTTAGAAAACTTCTTCCAATTCCAGTTCATGCTTTATGAGAATAAGTGTGTGCATATCTGTTTCTCAAGAGATGAATTTGAACTCTTCTCCATTATTATAAAGGATATTCAGTAATGACACATTATGCCCTTTCCACATGGATAAAGACACACTGTACAGAAGATGAACACTATCTAAAATGAGTGTACTGTATACATTACTGTAAAAATAAATTTTAAAAATTGTAATATTGTGCCTGCCTATTTTAAAATAGGCTGATTCTGCTTCCCCTCCCCCTTTTGGTGACTGAAAATAAAGGGGCTACACAAGTGTGAATATCCGTGATTTAAACAGTATTTATTTTGCGATAAGTTCTGTATAAGAATACCTACTAGCATCATCTGTTTTGATAAAGCCACTGTCAAATATGCAAAATACTTCAGCTTTCCTAACAAATAAAGCTAATAGTTGTCTTTAAAAAAATGAAAGGAAAAAAATATGTGCACTTAAAATCCATGTATTTTTTTTTTTTTTTTTTACAAAATATCACTTTTGCACTAAAAGGATGCAGTTGATGGGAATTGCCACATAAAACACCACAGAAATCGATGAGATTTGCATCAAAGTTCATCCATTTAAATGGATGTTTGTGCAAAAAAATAATCCTTGGCTTTATCCTGTATGAGAAATTATTAGAAAGAGTGCAAAACATATTTAAAATAGTACTGCATTTGTAACACATAGTGAACAGCTTTTTCTATAGATTTTAATTTTACAGGGTATGAACATTGAAAATGAAAGACAGATCTGAGCTACTATATACAAATACCATTTTTATATAGTTTATAAATTACTTAAATTTCTTGTTCCAGTAGCAAAACTGGTTCTCGTGGCATTCTATTAGTTTATATAAATATGAGCACGCTCAAGAGGGGAAGAACAAGTTGCCTCACATGTAGCATTTTAATTATTATATATTTTGACAAAACAAAATCAAAAATAGAAATGGGGTGGAGAATAGCATTTGCTAGTCTTGAACACTATTTTTGCCCTGCCTCTAATGAAAACCTCTACTGAATTAACATTGTTGGTCATGTTCTTCTTTCCTTGTTTTGAATAAAGTTTGTCATTTCTTCAATGTTTATATATTTTTCAACCGTATTATGTTATAAGAGAAGTCCAGTGGGTGAATTTAGATTTAGACGTCACGGATAACCTTGTACGCTTGCACGTTCACCAGCTCTTGAACATGAAGATCAAATTATTTCATGTCCATGGATGTACCATTCTGTGTAATCTCCTGGGCTGCACAGGTTGCTATTGGATCTGATCTTGTTAATTTTAGTCTTCTGCCTGTTTTACCACAGAATACAGTTTCAAACTCCTAAAATCCCAAAAACAATTCCAAGATGAATGGATAAGGTTTACAACTCTATGCACAGATATCCCTAAAGCCAGTAAATACTATGAAATTATGCAGCTTATTCAAAAATCGTTTGCAGGATTTTTTAAAAGGTCCACTACATATCTTGGTTTATACACATTCTTTCAGTAACAGTGATAACAGCTGCTTTACTTAGGTCTGGATAGAACCGTTCAATGTAAGGAGCAGCTGAACAGCATGAGGCTTCTTAACTATTGTTGATAACCAGTGGTTTGTCATTGCCTCTTTCCTAGGGCTGAGAGAGAGCGACTGGCCCAAGGTCACCCAGGTGGCTTCATGTCTAAGGCAGGACTAGAACTTGGTGTTTCTAGCCAGATGCCTTTACCACTACAGGTACACCAAACTGAAATTATGCCTGTTCGTTTGCCCTGTTGAGCAAAAGAACAGGCATAATTCAAGAAGTAATGAACTCACAATTAAAATAAGCGCATGCTTCCTAGCATCTTACCTGCCTGGTTCACCTTTCGAACATCCTAATAGAGTTTGTTTTCAAATTGGACTTGAAGAGATCCATATTAGAAATGTAAGTTCAAGACTGAAATGAGTATTGATTCGATGCTCCGGTAATTATTTCTTTGTATCTTACTGTTTACTAGGTGCCTGATTTGGCAGGTCTAGGGTGAAACCTTTGACAGGCTCTAGTCTAGAATCCATCTTTTCCACCCATAAAGTTTATGTTTGGTGCCTGGCTTAGCTTCACAGCATCACAATATTATTTTATGTATAATAATTTGATCTACTCAAAACAAATGTAGGCTGGATTCAACTAAGCCTTTATATACTTTAATTTTGAGCATGTGTTGCATGAACTCAGCTATTATTGTTTGTAAAACATCTTTTCAGACTGAGCATCTTGTGCAGAACAGGTATATTCCATAAAGTATGTTTAAACAAACTATGATATACTGTGATGCATGATCCTAAACACAGTTTACAGCATGAACAATGGTGAAAAAAGTTGATACAAAGTACAATAATGCCAATCTCTTAAAAATGAGAGAACAAGGTGACAAAATTGGCCTGCCTTCTCCACAAGAATACCCTGCCTGTGACCCTTGCAATGGTTCTGCATTTCACCAGTATTAAATCTGTTTTATACTAACAAGGTTTTCTTCTGATCTCTGGAAACAGCCTAAAACCCTGGTTTCAGTTCTTGATTAAGAAGTCAATACGGTGAGCACTGATTGGCAAAAGAAAGCATTTACTACGATGCACTGCTTTTAAATTTACTGCTTGTTTTTAATGGTCGTTGAATATTTTTAGATTATATTGTGTTTATCACTTCTGTCATCTTACTTTTATGTCAGTTTGTTCAAACTTCCTTGTCTACTTTTTTAGAAAAGCAGTATATACTGTACATATGCAGTAGTATCAAACCTCTTTTTTTCCCCTTTAAATGCATGAAAAGAGTTTGTACTGTAACAACTAAACCACATTCCTTACTTAGCTAAAACAGATTTCCTGCTCAAGGAAAGAACTGCTGAATCCCAACACTATAAGATGTGCTAATGGCTTTGGCAGGAATAAGTGTCTCTAAAGGCCTTTCTGCATCCTACAGAACCAGCACTGATCACAAATCAAACGTTTAGATGATTTTTGCCAGTTTTTTCCCATTTTAATGTAAGAAGCATGTGATGTGCAAGCTCTAAAGTTAGGAAAAGAACCTACTCCCAAATAGCTGGGGTAAAATAATAATAAGAAAGCCTTACACTGCACACACAGCATCATCTTCCCAGCTACCAAAAGACTGGTCCAACCCTGTCCTACAGAATGAGAAAAACATTGGTGGCCACTGCTCACTAGGCTAATATTAGTGTCTACCTGTTCAGCTTATATATCTAATACAATTTATAGGATGAACAATTGAAAATGTACGGAATATGGAAAGAATAAAAAATGATCCTATGAATAATGAAATATTGCTCGAGATACAGTGAGGTACTGCTATAACTTTCTTAAGCTGTATACATTTATGTGGAACTTATTGACCTTTTTCAGGGAATCCCCATGTCGCTCCTGAATATATTTTAGAAATGCTGTTGTCCATTGTAATGTTGTTGCCTTATCAGTGTCTGAAGTGCAGAATGGAACAAGAAGATTCAGTTCATCACAGCAAATCCTGATTCTGCGCCTAGAAGTACATATATCCCGGTCAATTCTTGAATCTGAAAAAACTGCCTTTATATGTACAAACCCAATATTTTATTAAGACTTTAGCAAATAACTAGTCAAATGTCTTTGTAACTTCCCTAGGTATTACACAGTAATAAGCATTTTTGTATTTTTAAAGATCTAAAAAAGCCTCTTTTTAATTAATTAGACTTCCCCCCTCAGCCCTGGCTCCCAAACAAAACAGAGTTTGGTCTCATTCATTTCTTGCACTTCTTGCATCTGCTCCTCTTGGGTTGATTCCTGGGAAATCTTATTTTGCTGTTCTGCAAAACATCAGATACATTGATAGAACTATGTAAACAATTTCTCTTAAATAAAATAATGAGATTAGGGAAATCTTCTGCTAGGAAAGTATATCACTAGTAAGACTTCAAAGGGTTGAAATATGATAATGAATCCTTAATTATGTAATTCTAAGACCACTATAGGTCTTGCCAGGTTTTCCTCTCTGAGAACAGAAGGGGAATACCAGATTCCCACTTCTGCCTCCCTGCCAATCTCCCTAGCTCTTTGCATCACCTGAAATTCAACAAAGGAAGCCCAGGAAGGACTGATGAATTAATGACTCCTCAGAACACCCAATCCACCATAACCCTGAATACCTGGAATGTTTTGGACAACTCTCAAGCTGGTCTAGTATTGCTGCCAGTTGTTTGCAGTAAATTGATTTTGTTTAGTTTTGCTTTGATTTTTCATTTAAAAAACGGGTTAAGACCTAGCTCACTGGAAAAGGCTCTGATGCTGGGAAAGGTAGAAGAAAAGAGAAGAGGACAACCAGCATCAAGTTGGATGGACTCAGTTACGGTGGCGATGAGGGAGCCATTGGAAGACCTGAAAGACCAGTTAGGGATGGATTGTCATGGAGAAAATCTAACTATGTGGTCACTAGGAGTTGAAAATGACTTGATGGTAAATAATAATAATAATAATAATAATAATGATGATGATGATGATACCACCACCACCATCAAACAACATCTGCCTATCCCAGATCCTTGGGAAGGACTAAATAACTGGATAAAAATGCCAAATCCAGTGTAAACATCTGTCTGACTTTGTGACGAACCATAATAATAAGTAACAAACACTGATTCAATTCAGTCGATCACTTTACTGGTAGTTCTATGGGCTTAACAGAACAATAGCCTTGTTCTGCCCTTTTGTAAAGGCAGAGAGTAAGCCTCTTGGAAGTGTTGCTGAGAAAATAAAAAAAGGAACTATTGCAATATTATAATTTATATTGCACCATCATACCATCTGTATTATACATTTATTCACTATGAATGTGGAAAGAGAAACATTTTTTTAAAAAAAAGACAAAATAAGGAAGACATAAGGAGAGAAATATTGCTTCTGAAAACTAGTACATACATTACAAACTGCTAGGATCCTTAGACAGCATCTGACTTTCAGCATTATCAAACCCTGGATTAGATTAAATTATAAAATGTGTATTTGGAACAAGTATACAATACTTTTATTTTAATTAGTGTGTGTGCAAGTTCTTTTTAATTCAAGAGGCTCGCAAAGAGAATTTGAAATACTTCCAGAAAGAACTGCTAACTCAAGACGCCACCCAGAGCCGTTACCTCCTGTCTCTTTCCATCCGGTTATGCCTCTCCCGGCGCTGAGAGACACTGCCTTGGCCTCCATTGTGTGCATTTTGGGTTGGCTGGACTGGTTGCCATGAACTCTGAGCTGGAACAGCAGTTTGATTATCACACACATTCTGAATATCACCAAGAGGTCTGCGCTGCATGTTGGGATCCAAGGGGTGGATTCGACTACGGCTTCTTCTATTTATTGTTTGCTTACATAAAGCCTCTCCTTTGCAAAAAAGAAAAGGTAGTTGTATTTTGCCATTGTTGCATGTATATAAAAATGATGGTTGAAAAAGAATTTCACTTTGTCACCTCTCTGGCTTATTTATTTTCTTTACAGCTGTCTGCTATTATATTATTTTTCACTGATAAAGGTAAAACATGTGGACATTAAAATGCATTTTAGCAGGGGTGTCCATAGAGAGGGGTTCAAAAAGTCAAGGGGGCAACCACGACTATGCGATGAAAGCCCAGCTATTTTTACATTGCGACATGCGTAAAAAAGTGGCAGGGCTTTGATCGCATGGCTGCGGCCACCATCTTGACATCTCTGACTCCACTGCAGAAACTTCCGCATCTTAGAAACATAAATAAAATTGTGTCTTAGCAGGACTTTAAAATAAATATCAACTTGAGCTGTAGAAATGATGTCATCATTTTCAATTTAATAAAACTGTTGACCATTTTTAAGGGAAATTGCATCTTTAACATTCCCATTTAAATGCCTTACTGCAGGACAAAAATTAGAGTCAAAACCAAAGGTGATCCAGTTATCCTTTAACCCATAGCTCCTCTGCTAATTAGAAATTATTTCTACTGCTTAAATTTATTCCTACTGGCTGGCAAGTTATAATTAATAATACGATAGTTAAGCCTTATGACTCCAGTTGCTTGATTTCCACAGCACTAGACATACCTATCTACTGTATGTATGGAAGAAAGTGCTTTAGAGTCTGGAGAATTCATCGAGATCATCTCAGGAAAAAAAAATGCAATTTTTGGTTTGCTCAATTCCGAGTATTTTCTGTTGCTTTCTCTAGTATTGTACGAGCAAAACAGTAAAAACAGAAATATTCTGTTCAGTAAAATCCAGATGAGCGGCTATATAAATGTGGCATACAAATAAATAAATAAATAAATAAAATTCCCAGGGCTGTTCATAAGTTTCTTCATAGCTTCCAAAGAAACAAAGATGTATCAAGTAGGTGGTGGGGGTGAATGCAATTTGTATGAAAAATGCTGTTAAAGAATACCTCCTCTGAAGTCGAGATCCTTAAGAAGCCAATAGCAACATGAGACAAAACTTCACCATTTACCTCCCAATTTAATCCAAACGTGTTCAGGTACAGCTTTATTTCTGGTACCAACTGTTTGTTTGGTTGCTTCAATTTCCTGCTGGTAACATACAGAAAAAGCTCGAGGTAATCCAAGGTCTTGATGTTTGGCTGCTTCTAGAACACTGGCTCCAGAGCTCTAAGAGGAAGAAAAAGCAAAACTAAATAAGTTTAGTTTTAAAACAAGAGAATAGGTAGGATTGGACACAAAACAGAACAGAGGTCTTTGGATGTTTTACTCAAATCTTTCCCACTTGGTCATGCTGTTCTTTGGATCCTGGACGTTAATTTGTTGATTCTATCAAATAACATCCAACAAGTGATAGAAACCTATATAATTCAAAACTCAGATTGTAAATTCCCTTTATTTTCTTTCTCCAGAAGTCTGAACATTGTAAAGCCTCAACTGAAACATCAAAGAAGGATCAAAACAAACAAATGAACAAACCTGTGTTTGCGAAGTATTCATGTTTCCAGTTGCAGGAGAAGCAGTGTTTGGAGTAAATATTGGACATGTAAATTGTAATGCAGTCGTCGCGGTGGCAGCAGTCTTATTTTTCACTAACGTAGTACATTTATTCTGCTGCTGATGGAGAGGAACCCCCATCACTTCTGAAGGATGGCGAATGAGGGTTACTAAGCTATGAAAGAAATCAATAAAAGAATGGAGCCTGTTTGAAATGAATCCATATTTTTATATTAATAGTCACTTCAGAATGCTAGTGAAACATGCACCAACCATACATCAGACTATGTATTCAACAATTTTTTTTAATCCAAAGAAACATGTTTGTTTTTTTAACTTTTTGAAATAACAACAAAGCGTTGTAGCAATCTTCATCATAAACATCTGCATATGTAATACCTTTTTTCCAGTGCTTGAGTGGGTAAGATTTCCTACATAGTTCCAGGCTAGCCTCCAAGTATTCCCACCTTTCCAGATTTTCTGAATTTTTTCCTATCCTTGTCACTACATGTTATGAGAACTTCATGTAAGTATAGTGATGTATAAAGAGTCTGAGTTGAAACAATTATACCGAAGTTTGATGCCTGGGTCATTTATTTCATAAACAAAGTCATTTGATGTGCAATGTGTCAGTGTGAAAAGGATACCCCCCCCCCAACCAATTCAATTAAAGAGATAACTAGGGACAATTATGTCAGTACTTCATTTAACAATCAGGGCTGAGTTAGCTCTGCCCTATATAAATTTCACAAACTTTGGCTCCTTCCCCAGTCAATGAAATTCCTACCCATACAGGTTCTAGAGACATGTTGTGCCCTGCTCAAAGAAAAAAAAATCAAGATTATCTGCCAATTTCTCCAGCTATTCCTTTAACGCTTACGGCTATTTTACTTTCATATAAAGACAAAAAAACAAACTGATTAGAGAACTGTGTCTGCCTGCCTTTCTTTCTGGTGCAATTGGATAACAAGACATCTTTGTAGTCACATTCTTGAGAACGCAAGGTGGAAGTTTTAAATTCATTCTTATTTTTTCTATAATGTTTGTACCCTGCCCAGATTACTAGGGTTCTGGTTGGTGAATAATAAGCAAACCCAGAAAAACAAATAAAATTCTGGGATATGATAGCAATAACTATTTATAACAGGACTGCACTTGACAGGCACTATTGTGGGTTCATCTCAAAACAAAAGGTACCCTCAGTATTTTACAACTAATAAAAAGAGTAACTATTATAAGAGCCACGAATAAAACCAATTTAGAGGCTGAACAAAGTCTATACTATATTCTTTGCTAATGAAATTATTCACTGGCAATTTATATCTAATTATTTATAGGATCCACAATTGGACTATTGATTTCAGCATATATGGACTGCAATGCAATGATCTTGTAACAAATTTTGAATAACAATCTTACAGTATAGCACATATGCTTGGAAATCAGAAGTCATAGTTACCTTGAGTTGACTCTGATGCATCCATGCAGTTGTCTTGATAACAACATGGAAGTCCTTTGCTATTACTTTTTCCAGCATGTAGTTTCAATTCTCAATCTAACCTGCAGCTCTGGAGTTTCTTTGGGGGTGGTCCATCCAAGTACAAACTAGTCTAACCCTGCTTGGCTTTCTGGTCAGACAAAATTGGCACAAAAATCTTTTAAGTGCATGCACAGGCATCTGCAGAGAGGAGGCAAACGACAATATGCTTGTCATGACATCATTATACAAAGGATGCAAATTATGTACTTGCATCATAATGCATTTACATAATCACGTAATTTGCACAATGAGATTATGGCATGCATGTCATCATTTTGACTTCTCTTTAGCTTGTACCAGGTGCCTGTGATGGCAGGAAATGAAAGGAAGAGATTCATAAAGAACACTCAAAACTCCTCTCCCTTAGTGTGGTTCAATTAAAAGGTTGCATTCTTCTAAAAACAGGTTAGATCTAGAGCACACAACTAATATGGGCAAGGATTCACGTGGAAGTTTACAATCAACCTTAATCAAATTTAACTACCTTATTTTTAAAACCAAGGGAGCTGAAAATTGGAACTGTTGTTCCTCACTGTGTGTGTTGGTAAATTAATACACTTGTAATTAACTTGGATATGGCACCAAAAGCAGTAATAATTTCTTTCTAGAAAAAAAATTAATATATAATTAACATAGTAAACATGTGTCTACACCTCAGCAATTCCCTGGTTTTATTGAAGAACAGTTATTACCAGCAAATTGAATAATATGCTTAAAGAAAATAAAAATGAAACACACTTGTTAATGGCTACTCCAGTTTCTTGAGTTTCTTGGCACCTGGGAATTTCAGTCTGGATACTGTTGAATCGGTCTTCTAACCGAACACGGACTGCAGATTTGGCTCTGGATTCAGGAACTGCTGCTAAAGTTTCGGCAACTACATTTTCTTTATTTATCCCGCCCGAGGTTTCACTATGTTTTAATTTTACTAAATTTTGCCCGTTTGTATCTATGGAGCTCCCATTAGGTGCTTTTTCAGCTTGGACTGGTGGAAGACTAGATTCACTAAGCAACATCATCCTTAGCTCTTGAAAGTCAATATGCCCTAGACATTGATTAGGCCCCATGAAACTGCTGTCAGAAGTCAAGCCAGACTGGCAGATAATGGGGTAGAGAGACTGGTTTCCAGAGCTGTTTGATGAGAAGCCACCTTGACTGTTACTACATGATGACAAGTACTGGGACTGATTTGCAGCATTGTTGGCTGAGAAGCAATTAGAGTTTAGCCTACTTTCCACTTCGTTTTCATTTGACTGGGCCTCCATATGGGAGTAGAGTATGTGCTGAAGCTGTGTGTATTCTATTTCTGTCATCTCCACCAGGTTGAGGTCTGTGGTGGTGAAGCTAAGATTGTGCTCACCAAAAGAGGAATCGGTGGGGCCTTCAACAACAGGACCAGAAGAAGCTTGATCTGTAACTACAGCCCGAGGTTCAGAGGCTTCAGACTCCTTGAGGGTTGTGTCTGACATGATTCTGAAGAATACCAATGCCACCACGCTTTTGGATCACTGAATATCCAAACAATGAATACCACCTGCTTGATGCACCAAAAACTGTGCAATGGCTGCAATCAAGAGCAAGCACTATGAAAGGAAGTTGATTGCTGTACACAAAAACGCCGTCTGGATCCTTCTATTAAGAGCCACCCTCCCCACCAGAGGGTAAGCATGCCCAGCTCCCAAGAGCTAGTAGGAACAGCTGCACCATCCAAAGCACACCAGTGCCATCCACACTGCTGGCACGTCCTTCAAAAACTGAAACGAAAAGCTGCCCCAAGCCCCAAAACACCCCAATCCTCCCCAACCTGGAAGGTCTGGTGGTAGTAGAATAGAGGAAGATGTCCTCTTAAAACAGGGGGAGGTGGAGAAAACTTCTAGCCTAGAAATGAAGAAAGAAAAAAAGAAGCATGTAATCCCACAAATGGATTGCACACCACCCTTTGAAAAAACCCAGTGCAGATTATGGGTTAGTTACTCTGTTTAAAATGTTTTTAAAATTAAAAAGAGGAGCGTCCCCGGCCCTCATTCCTGGGAGGTCAAACAGCCTTCCCCCATATCTCCAGGGAGAGTGGGGCAGCGGGGAACGCACCCAGGGCCCTTCAATGCCC